TCTTCGGATTTACCATTTTTCAGGCTCGTTATGCCGAGGGCAGAGAGTTTGGGCATATCCACCATGAAGTGGGGCAAAGCCGGCGGGCTGGCGCCTCCCAGTTTCTCGTGGCTGGGGAAGACGAGGGACTGCTGCCTCAGGAAGCTCGCGGGGCAGATCTTGTAGTAGAGGGGCAGGCTGAGGCTGTGCAGGTAGGTCTCGGGGCACGGCACGCCGATGTTGCTGGCTGAGAGATGGAAGGCAGGCGGGGAGCACGACGGGGAAAGCAGCGGGTTGAGAGGAGAGGGCGTCCCACCGCTGGAGGTCACTGGAGAAGAGCTGGAGCTCCCACCTGAAAACAGGAACAGAAATCACCCACAGTGACGGCCGCAAACGCGGAGCCCTTGGTGGGCTCCTGCTCCCACCGCATCTCCCCGCTGCTGTGCTCCATCCCGACACAAAGCAGCCCCAAAGCCAGCTCCTGGAAAATGGGAAGACCTCTCCCTAAGCTACACGTTGCTGTTACTTGGTGCTCATCTAGGGAATATTCAGACCTGTCCAGTGCCATTAATTTGGCTGGGATAATGATGAGGTTCAGCTCCACGCCAACAGGTTCCTGCTGGGTCTGCGCCTCGCTGCACGACCGATAACCTCCTGTTAGACACACACACTTGCCATTTTCAGTTCCCTACTTTTTGTACAAATTATAGGCAGCTTTTCCCCACGTATAGAAGAACAAAAAAATGTATTCAGCCTGATGGAGAATTTTTTTGTACCTTCCTGCTCACAGGAATTGACTAATTTTGCTTGGCTTCCCATGCAATTTGAAACACACACTCGACTCCTCTCGGTGTCTGCCGGAGCCTTAAACGCACATGTCATTTTGACATTCTCTTCTCCGAAACGAATCAATGGACACTTTCATAATTTGGTCGAAAAGCGACACCAGTTTACTTCACACGTGGCGAGCGCTCTCGAGGCTGCTGGTGTGTGTACCACCACTGTTCGGCACCGCGCCTCCCAGCAGCGCCCGGAGCGGCAGCTTCACGTTCATCACCACGCTCTTTTAGAGGCTTTTCCCCCCACTTCTTTTCATTTCTTACTAAAGTCAGCTAATATATGAAATCTAATAGGAAAAAAAAAAAAAAAAAGTAAAAAAAAGTAAAAAAATTACCCACCAACAAGAGCAAAAAAACAAAACAAAACAAACAAACAAAAACACACACACACAAAAAAAAAAAAAAAAAAAAAACACACAAAAAACCACACACACAGATTGAAGACTCAGCGCAAATTAATTTTTGCCAGCTCGCAGAGGATCTTCCAGGTCTGGTAAGCACCATCTTCGCAATAGCCCTGGAATGCTTGATTTTAGTGTCTCGCCCCTTCGCCACTGATGTCAGCGGCTGCTTGCGGACTGACATCGGTGGGAGAGGACGCGGGGAGCTGGGCTCCTCCTGGTGCACGCATCCCGACAGCCTCCCAGGATTTGTGGGCTTTCAGACATGTAAAAGGGTGCAGCAAAGCCAATATTTGTGATAGAGCACGGCATGCTTGCTCTAGGCAGTTCTGACTTCAAGGTATCCTAAGCAGTAGCATCACACAGCTCCCAGTACCAGTTTGGGACTGGGGGTAATGGTGGAGAGCACAGAGCAGCCCGAATAGCTGGCCCTTTCTGCCATTTCTACGAGGCTTAAAAATCCCAAGTTTGTTGCCATTTTTTTCTTCATCATATCATTCATTCCTCCTTTAAATTTGTCTTCTAGCTTTAGGGATTCAGGATTTTTATTTCAGCTTTTTTTTTTTTTTCCCTTTCTTTCTTCCTTTCCTTTTCATTTTCTTTCATTTTCTCTTTCTCTCTTTCTTTCTCTTTCTTTTTCAGAAATGCAATTTTCTTATTAGTGGAAACGGGGATTTTGTTATATTTACATCATTCCAGAAAACTGACCCTTACAAAAAAATGCCAATCATGTTACAGTTAATAAAAAAAAGAAATCCCAAGAAGCCCTAATATTTTAGCATCTGTATAATAAAAACTGCAAAAGCTGTGCTGGTTTTCTCATTCCTCACTGCAGCCTGTCCATCAGCTCCTCTCCAATCCACAGCCTGCCCAATAGGTTCAAAAAGAGCTTTTTACTTTAGAAATGTTTTTTTTTTCTGTTTAAATAAATAAATAAATAAAAATAAAAAGTAGCTCTTTGCAGTCTGGTAAACCTCTTAATTTCTCCAGAGCCTGATTTTTTCTCTCTGCATTTTTACGCCCATACAGCACGATTTTTTTTTTCTTTTTTCTTTTTTTTTTCAGCATTTTCCTACAGAGACTGGAGTGATTCGGTGTACACCATTACAAGTTTGAAGAGCTGGTAACATAAAGGAGAGCAAAACCGGCGACTTTAACCCCAAACCGGAGCGCTCCGGGGTGCAAAAGCTCTGTCGGCTTTTCCTTCGGCGCTAACAAAAACCACTTCACAGTAACACCTCCAAAGGCTGCCGGGGGGCTGTAAGAGCCCCCTGCGGGTGCCAGCCGGGGCAGTTTGTGCTCAGTGCTCGGTTTCCCCCCCTCCTTGCCCAGCTTTGAGGGGCTGCGGGAGTGCGGCACCGGAGCGGGCGGCCACTTTCCCTCCTGCGGGAAGCGCATTTTTCGGGAAAAAAATAAATAAATAAATAAATAAATAAATAAAATAATAAAAGAGAGGCTGCCGGTGTCCCTCCTGTCCCCTCTTTGTCCCCCCCCCGCCCCGCGGCCGCTTCCCAGGGGCGCTCCCCGAGCATCGCCCGGAGCCTGCGGCCGTCGGGGGCCGTCGGGGGGGCGTCGGGAGCCCCGGGACTCACCGTGGCTGTCGGCGCCGAAAGCCTTGAAGTCCAGGGCGAGGGGGGGCCGCCACGGGTAGGGCTCCAGGAGCCCGTCCAGGACTCCCCTGCGGGCGACACGGGGCTGAGCGCCGCGGAGGGGCCGGGACCCCGACGGGGGGGGACGAGCGGCGGCCGTTACCTGTTCCTGCCGGGGTCCCGAAAACCTTTGGCGAAGGGATTCCTGTCGATCTTCAGCTTCGTGATCTGCGGGGGAAGGGGAACGAGAGGGGCCGTTTATTGGGGTGTTGGAGGGGGGGGTCCGGACCCGTGCCCTGCGCCCGTGGGGGCGGCCGCGGGTACCTGCTGGTTCTGGTAGGCTGTGACCGTGGTGAACTCGGTCTCCTGGAAGGAGAAGGTGTGCACCCCCTCGGCCGGCAGCGACTGGATCTGGGCCAGGTCGAAGCGGGAGTCCTGGGCGATAACGTGCACGCGGGGCTTGTACTTGTGCATGGACTGCAGGATGATCTGTGCGGCAGGGAGGGTCGCGCTCAGCCCCGACGGCCCCACCGGGACGAAGCCGCCGCTGCCCTGCCCAGCACCTACGTGGCCCTTGTCGTCCAGCTCGTTGTTGGTGAGCTTCACCCGGTCGAAGCTGACGATCTGCCGCATCCACGTCTCCCCCGAGCAGGGCGAGTCGGGGTGGATGTAGAGCCGCGGAGTGATGCACGAGTGGTCCGTGTTCCCCGCCACCATCCACTGCGAGCTGTGGTAGACGTACCTGGGCCGCCGGCCGCCGTCAGGATCCGCAGAGCCCCCCCCTCCCCGTGTCCCCCCCGTCGGTGCCAGCCCGTACCTGTAGCGCTTGGAGTCCACGGGCACCACGTCGATGGCGATGTAGTACTGCTGCAGCGGCTGCAGCCCCTTCACCTTCACCCGCACCGACGGGAACATCCTCCTGCGGGCACGGGGAGGGCGTCAGAGGCGGGGGGGGGGGGACGCGTTTGAAACGGCGACGAGGTTGAAAAATAAAAGGGAGATTGGAGAAGGGGGGGGAAATTAATCGAAATAAAAATACAGAACGAAAAATACCGAAGGAAAAAAGAAATAATAAAAAGGGGGGAAGCCCCGAGGGAGGAGAAGCGGAGGAGGGAATGAGAGGAGTTTTTGGGGGGTCCCGCCGCTACCTGCCGGCCTTGGTGATGATCATCTCGGTGCCGATCTCGTGGAACCTCCTCCAGAGCTCGGAGCCCTGCAGCTCCACCTGCACCTCGTCCCTCGCCTCCCGGCTCTCGGCGCCGGCCTTGGGCCGCTTCTCTGCGGGGGGAACACAAAGCGGAGGGGGCGCCGGGGCGGCTGCCGAGCCTGCCCCCCCCCACCCCCCTTTTCCCCTTAAGCTCCCCCCCCCGACCCCCCGACGCTACCAACCCGGCTCCGGGGCTCTGCGGCTCTGCCTGCAGCCGGCCCCGACGTCCTCGTCTCGCCCGTCGGGCACCTTCCTCTTGGCCGAGCGCCCCACCAGGGCTTCCACCGAGAAGGCGTGAGCCCGGGAGCTCAGCGCCATGCCCCCCTCCCTCGGGCCGGGGCCCTCCCGGGTCGCCGAGGGGCTCAGCGGGGCGGCGGGGCTCCCGGCGGCAGCTCCATGCGGGGTCCCGGCCCGAGCCGTCGGGGGGCAGCGGCGGGGGCCGCCCGCATCCGAGCGAGGCGAGAGGAGGCTGCGGCTCCCGCTGTTTGTTTTGGGAAGTGGTGGGAGCAGGAGAAAGCCGGAGTGGCATTTCGTGGGGCTGGGGCGGGGGAGGGGGGGAGGGAGGGAGGGGAAAGCGGGCGGCGGAGGGGAAGAGCGGGGGAAGAGGAGCCGGCCCCGTCTAGGATCAATAAAAGAGTTACTGTTCTCCATTAAATTGTAAAACTCAAAGAAATTTGACATAATTGCACACTAGGGGCCACTTTTCCAACAAAAGTGCAAATAACGTTTAACCAGAACCAGCACAAAAAAAAAAAAAAAAAAAAAAAGAAAGGGGGGGGGGGGAATGAGACGGCTGCGGGACGGCTGCGACTCGGCTTTCCCGGCCCCCCCCCCCCCCCCCGTCTTTTTTTTTTTTTTTTTTTTTTTTTTTTCTTGTTTGTTTTTTAAAGACAGAAAATCCGCCCCAGCCCGGCCCGCTCTGGCATGACCCCCGGGATGTTTCCACGGCCCCGCTTCAAAGCGGCGGCAGCTGCACCGCATTAGGGGCACGAAGCCGGCTGATCCGCCCCCGGAGCCCCCCCCAGCAGCCTCCCCCCCCCCGCGTCCCGCAGCGCCCAAAACCCTCGGGGGGACGGCCCCGGGCAGGGGAACGGGGGGGGGCAACAGGCGGGACCCCCCCCTCCCTGCCACCCTCGGGGCTGCTAGCCGGGCTGGGAGGCATTAAACCGACCCCAAAAGGAAGGCAGGTCTGAGGGAAGCGTTGGCACAGCACCGGGCAGGGCAGGTGAGCCTTCACCTGAGCCCCAAACTGTGCCCCAAACCCCATGCCACGTCCCCAAATGTCCATCTGAAGGATGCTCGTTGCTCTGCTTATGGTGGGTTTTTCACACCGATGCTCATGTACACCCGTTTATTCCCATCCATGCATTTCCCCACACATTTACACACCAAACTCCGACTTTTTCTTGCTGGGGCTGAAGGCCAGAGCTCGGCGCCCAGCCCCGCAGCCCGACCAGGGAGCTGTGAGCGAGCATCCAGGTCTGACAGCGAGGCACAGAAAGATCCAGCTGAAATCACACTGAGCTCATCTGGGAAGACTGACAGCACTGCTTCTAATGCCCATCCCCGTCCCCATCCCCGTCCCCGTCCCCATCCCCATCCCCGTCCCCATCCCCATCCCCGTCCCCATCCCCGTCCCCATCCCCATCCCTGTCCCCATCCCCATCCCCATCCCCATCCCCATCCCATCCCCATCCCCATCCCCATCCCCAACCCTGTCCCCATCCATGGGGCAGAGGCTGGCAGAGGGCAGGGTGGGGAGGAGGCTGGGGTCAGCTGCACCTATGCAGATTTTTGTTTCTTTTTAGGAAGAGAAATGAAGCATTTCATAAACATCGTGATAATGAGAACGGCATCAGCTCGTGGTTTAAAGCCAGGTGAAGCCCTGGTCCTGCCTGCAGCACGGCTGCGCTCACGGCGCTGATAGAAGCCAGCTGAGGGCACCGAGTGTGAACTTTTATCTCTGCTGACATGACATATTATTAAAAAGTATTTCAAGTAATCTTTTATTTCCTCAGCATTGCAACACATTTCAAGAACTTGGACGAGGATCAACCGGCCCTTTTTTAATTTCCTACAATGAAAAATAAAACAAAAATAAAGCCCAACCGAGATGATATAATCAGGAACATTTTGGAGGTTTAGGTCAAATTAATATGTCAGGGAAGTGTTTTCAGGGGCCTTGGAGAGCTTTAATCCGTCAAGGACTGACTCAGAGCGTTCTCGGGCTTTGTAATCTTATTGTCTTTACCAAATTATGTGGTGGTATGTAATATATTACCGTCATCAGAAAATCGAGCAAATAATCATTTGGCATAAAGTTCAGATTAACTAACTTAATTTTAAAGCAAGCGTTATACAATACCCCAGAAATGTTTGCTTAACTTTAAAATGATCTTTTACTACTGACCATTAATCTGGTAGAGCACACAGGTAAACTCCAAACACAGACTTTTCTGGTCGTTTTTTTGGGCAGATTTTGAGACATTTAATTATGTCCAAGCAGCGCTTGGTTCTGCCAAGATTTACTTTGCATTTAACAAAGCAAAACACACAAACAAACAAGCACCAAACTGAACTCGACTTGGGGCTTAGGGGCACTATGTGACGCTTAAAAGCCACGTGCTCTGCATTACACGTCTAAAGCTTTAATCTTTTGTATCTCCACCTGATACGTCGTAGGTTTATGTAAAGCTGTGAATATAAATTTGGTGCTGAAACTTCTTCAGGTCCAATGGAAGGACTGGGAAGGACGGTTTGTTCTCTGCTTCAGGAACCGTGAGCAAGAAAATCTTTCCTTTTATGTTTTGAAAAATAAAACCCCTTTTCTTGTCTTTCAAACCTGTACATCCTTATGATGCTAATAGGAAAGATGCTCGCAGCTAATAGCAGAATGACAGAATAAAAAACCCCTAAAATGGACTCAAAATCATATGCTAACAAATATTTTGACTATGAAAACAGAACCGGTAGCATTGTATCTTTCATCTGGGTCGAACCCCTTCAGAACTGCCTGCTCTCCCTGTTCCTAATTGAGACCTTTAGCATGTCCTGGGGTCATTTTTTTTTTTTTTTTGGCAGCCCTTTTGCAGCTGGCGCTGCCTTCCAGGTGGTTTCTAACCAGGGAGGCACGGCTCCGTGTCCCCCTGTGCCTCCACAAAGCCCTCCTGTGCCTGCCTGCAGAGCCTGGGTCTTCTGACCCTGCTGTATTTTCCTGCCATGTCAACATAAACCAGGACCAGCTTCTGGCCCTGTTTGTTGACCAGGACCAGCTTCTGGCCGTGTTTGTTGACCAGGACCAGCTTCTCACCATGCTGGTGACCTGCAGGCTGCCACCCAAGCAGAGGTGGAGCTGAGCTGCAGCATCTCCACCCTGGCTTCAGTGGCACTCGCCTCTGTAAGCACCAAGCAGTAATTTTAATGAGTGTGACCGCCGCTTCATTGGAATCATTAAGTGATTGCTTATTAACAGAGTAATGAATATTCCTAGCAGGCAATCACTGCACAATACGCTCCCAAGGACGGAGTAAATCCCAGCAGGAAACACCCCTAGTAGCTCAGAGCGGCGCTTATGAGATGGTTTCCCCTCAAGTGCTCCAATGTCAGGTCCCACAGCATAGCTTTAATTTCGCTCTCGCTCTAATTTGGCCCCTGATGAACTCTGACGAACCCCGGCCTGGGATCCGGGCGAGGTGTGAGGACCAAACCGAGGCGTTGCAGAGCCCAGGGGCGAGGGGTGATGCTGAGCAGCAGGGTGTGACCACGCACTGGTGCAAGCTGTGAGCATGGCCAGGGCTCTGGAGTTTCCCCATTGATTTTGGGAATCAGGACATGGCACCCTCCTAGGATGGCCTTCTCCTTCCCCTCCTGCCACATGCGCTGCGTTAGCTAAAGGTACGTTAAAATCCATCTCCGTGATGTTGTTTTATACATAAGAATAAAACAAAAGGTTGTAGAGGGAATAGGATTAAGCTCTAAGGAAACGATTCAGTGAAGTAGAAACATTATATGTCGTATTTGGGGAAAGTTAAACCGAATTAGGTGCCTCGGATCGCTTTGTGGTGAGGGGAGGGTGGGTGGTGGTCCCCACCTCACCCCGGGAGGTCGAACGCTCACCTGCTGCCTGAGACCTTCCCGAGACCACCACCACGGTGGGGCAGAGTGGTGGGGGCTCCTGCCCCACATCCCACTGCAAAAACAGCACTTTTTTCTGGAAAAGCAAAATTTCTTGGCTCCTTTCTGCGAGGAGCATGTGTAGCAGCGCCTTCCCTACCCAGCTCCTGCCTTCAGGCCGGTTTTGGTGACCTCTTCCAAGCCCTGCCATGCATCCAGGCATATTTATGGGGCTGGGGGAAGCTTTTCTGCCTGGTGGGAATGGGGGTTCATGGTGGGCATCCCCGTGGGAGAGGCATGGGAGGAAGGAGGAGCATCTCCCCCAGGAAGCCTGCACCAGCCCTGCCCCTGTGCCCGGCTGTCCCAGCCCCGTGTCTTCTCCAGAGGTTCTCCAGAGCACCGAAATACATCCCAGAAATATCCCCTTCCCCCTGCCAAGGCAAGGGGAACATTCCTGCCGTCTTGAACTCCTCCCGTAATACTTAAAGAAAATACTCCAAGAATGTGTAATAATCGGGGATTTGGAGAGAGCAAAATTAACCACAGGGACGAAGCGGAAAACCTCCAGAATGGCACCAAAATGTATCCTGTCCCACTTCACCACGGGGAGGAGTTGTGGGGTGAAGGACGGGGCTGGGGGACCTGGGGGACCCCCCCCTCCGCCCCACGCTTCTCTGAGCACAGCAGGGACCAGCGAGCGCTCTCCATTTAACTGCCAGGGGAACCACACCGGAGAAGGGAAATTAAAAATAGTGCTGGGGAAGCTGATTTGGGGTTATCCTATATCCCCGCGCAGGAGAGGATTGCTGGGGCCGCGTTTCCTGCCCCTTGCATCCCAGGGTCCAGCCGGCCCCGGCGGGGCGTTACAAGCAGCCCGTCCCTCCACGGAAAGGCACCTGAAGGCAGAAAAGCCTTTTTAAGGAGGAAAGTGAGGTTATTTTATTTTTTTATGAAACGCAGCCTACATCCTGGTTTGCTTCACTGTAAATCCTAACGGGGTGCCTTGGGAGAAAGGCTCTTTGACGGTCTGCACCGCGCTGCCTGAAAGCAAAGCTGGCCAAAGCATCCTGCGACGGCCAAGGTTTGGGGCTGGGGAGTACGGCTGGGTTTGGTACCGAGTGGGTCCACAGCACACGTCCCAGCCAGGATCGGGCACCTGAAGTGGTGCTCATTGCTGTCGGGGCCAGTAGTTGCACCTCCTTTAATAGGATTTACTAAAACCAGGCCCTTTTATTAGGCTGTGACAGCTGCCTCTCCCTTACTGTTGCTGCCCCAGAGGCATCCCAGAGCTGCCTTTCCCTGTGCTGGCTGCCAAAATCCTTCTCGGGGATGTGTTTGAGTCCCTGGCCTGCTTGGACAACTGTCCCCAGTGTCCCCACCTGGGGTTCCCAGCTCCCATGCAGAGCCTTTCTGGGACAGTGAGCCTGGAGGTAGGCTTAGGAAAGCTTTCCTGGGGGATGCTCGGTTATTTATTGCTCACGCAGCCACCGCAGGTTACCAGCAGCTCCATCTCACCAAATCCTGGCAGCTGCGATAGGTTTTGCTCCTCGGTCCTTCGCTGGGCCTGGTGAAGGTGCATCCGAACACAACACAAGGATTTATCCCCGATCCCACCGGCTCTGCTGCTCAGCGCTTTGCCAACGGGTTATTCCTGACCGATTTCTTCCCACCGTGCACCAACCGAGTGCTTTGCAGCCGCCAGTTCGAAGGCAGGTCGGAGACGTGGTGGCGGTGATGAATTTTCATTCCTCAGCTCTGTGTTGCTATTCTCTCCTCGGTTATTGCAGCTGATGACTGCTGCAAATGCAAACAATGCTGGGAAGAGAATGAAAGCTTGGAAAGGGGATTGCGTTCGGGAGGACAATAAATCAGAAGGTTTGCAAGGAAGCTTTCGCTCATCTTCTGAGCACTGATGTGCTTTTGAGTTGTTAGCTGGCACTTTGGTTAGGAAGAGGCTTTTGAAATTAAACAGAAAAGATACGATCTTAATATTTCACGAGACCTGCCAATACAAATATCTGTCAGCAGATGTGTAAAAGAACAGCTTTAAAAAAAAAAAAAGGGAAAAGAATCACACGCCATCTTCTAAGGAGAGTGATGTCACCCCCCGACCAAGCTATATATTCTTTGTATTTGAAATTAAAACCTCATGAACTCTCATTGCGAAGCTGGGTGAAACCCTGTTTTTCCCGAGTTTCCCCTTAGGGATGAAGGATATTATTTTCTGCTTTTAATTTGAAGCAATAAATAAGCGAGGTTGGCTTGCCACCCGACGGCACCATCTGAGCTGTGCACAAGCAGGAAACGCAGCCCGGGCACCTTAACGTGCAGGTAGCTGCCGTGCAAAGGCTGCCAAAAAGGCTGTCTGAGGCTGGGGTTGCTGTCGTAAGAGAAAACCAGCGTTAGCTGAACTGGTCAGCAAGCTTCGCCAGGGATTTCAGATCAGAGAACAGGAAAATCTGTCTCCGTGGTATTATCCGCGCTTCCAAAATTTCCTTCTGGCTGCACTGGGTCACAGACCGCCGACTGTAAATTATACAGCAAGCAATCGAACGATCTTTTTCAATAAGGAAAGAAGAAAAACATGCAATGATTTAATATACGAAGCAGTTCGAGGTACGGGCTCCTTTTGTTCGCAAATGCGGACAGTCCTGTTGAGATCCCAAAACCACTCCAAACCTTCCAAATTAGCAAATAACCATCTGGTCCGGTGGCTCAACACCTTCCGTAGCCATAAATCCAAATCCCAGCCACGTTATCAGGGGATTTGCTCTGAAAAACCAGCTCGGGCCTTGGGTAATGTGAAAACAAGGTGGGCTGGGGAAGGGCGCAGGGGGAGCTGCGGCTGGGGGCGGCGCAGGGTCCGTGGGGCACCGCTGGGTGCCTGGGGCGAGCTGGGACACCCCGCTGAGCCTCCTCCTGTCCCAATACCATGGGTTGCTCCACGTGTGCTAGCTCCGAGCCTTGGAGCATGTTCCTGAGTTTGGCACAGCTAACACGGACATGGAGCAGTGCCCACCAGGAGGGCTTTCCTCTCTAAGGTCTAAGGTTTTAGATAAGATGCAATTTAAAAAGTAGCAGTAAAGGGGTAATATCCCTAAAAGGACTCATCTGCAGGCAGACGAGCCCCCAAATCCTCATAGCGGCTGTGTTTCTGGCCACCATGCCCCAGGAACTCAAATCAGCCCTCGATCTATCGCATCTGCCTTTATTCATCCTCTGCCCTGCCAGTCCTGGCCACGAGTCTGAGTCACGATTGGAGCTCACGCACAAAAAATTTGCCTCTTCCTCACCCTCAAGACCTGGAATAAGCGGCTGAGCCTGATTTTGGACCTGCAGCAAGTTTTAGCCATCAGAAAAGTTGTGTATTCGTTGCACATCTGGTTGCGTTTGCGGTCGATATTGCCTTTCAGTGCTGCTCAAGCCTGTCCGTGCCCATTAGTTACCAGAGCAAGGAGCCCCTTCATGTGCAGAAGTCCACTGTGGGAGACTTGGAGGCCATTTTACATTTAAATATTATTGGTAATTCATTACTAATTGTATGCTAGGAGCAAGTGTGGCATTAAACCAGGCAGATAGCAGAGCTGGCACCGAGGTTTTGGTGTGGGCACCTTCCAGCTGGTGCCCGCAGCCCCTTGCAGGCAGCTCGTGGAAGGGCAGGGGGGTTCCTTGAAGCTGCAGGGCGAAGGACTGTGTATGTTATCTGGATTTCTTCCTACGTTCTCGCATCTGCTCAGTTTTATTATCCCATATCCCACAGACTTCAAGCACTTCCCCACACAGCGGAGTTAATCCCGCGCAATGGAAACCAAGGCGAAGCTCAGCAGCCACGCTCACAAACGCGTGCGGCCCCGCACATCTCCTAACTCGGGATCTTTGGGACCTCCCCAAGAAACTGCAAATGCAGTGAATCACGGAGGAGTCAGGAAAGCTTCAATTACAGCTGCGCTTTGCTGTTGGAGGGCAGGGAACGACTCCGTCCTTTATTTAATGTGCTTCCACCACCACTTCCCCAGCGCCGCGGCAGCACGTGCTGTGGCACTGCGCTGCCCGGCTCAGTGTGGTTTGTGTTACCCGGTCCGTGCAGCTGGAGGCTGGAGGTAAGAGGACTGAAAAATGCGTTATCCACTGGTCGTGAGAGTGCAGGGCAGAGCCACGGTACCTGGAGTGAATCTGCGCTCCACCAGCTAGAGAGAAATAAATACTCAGCTGACAGCACGGTGATTGATTTTCCTGTAATTTATATCAATAAAGCACAAGGAGGAAGGTTTGTAGAAAACGAATAGGAGAAATCTTGCCGTTTAATCTCCATTGCTGGCAAATAAAGATGACTCAGAAAAGTGGGTCGGAGACCTGGGGCTGAGCTGTGCGGGGCTGAGCACGGGGCTCCTGCTGCTGGCGTGGCAATCAGGACTGCGCGCTTCTGGGGCGGCTGCTGCACGAACAGACCCCACTTTGAAAACTGTCCTCCTTTGTTTACCTGCAGAAAAATGAGGAACACCTTGAGAATAATTCGTAAGGCAAAAAGAAAAGCCTTAATTTAGCAAGCGCCTGGTTCAGCAGCTAATATTAACTGCACCGCGCTGCCAGGAAAGCCTCCTGCCGGGGTTTCGCACGTGCAGGAGACGCTGCTGCTGCTGCAGGGAGCTCCCGGGCAGCTCCTCAGTCATGAAGTTACAGAAAAGTTCTCAGTTTAAAGGAAGAAAGTCAAATTACAAACATGTAATGCGTTCTGTCTTGCCCTCCGTGCCTACAAATTGCAGCTCAAATCACTGTAATCAAGTGCAGTCGAAGGCAAACAGTATTTGTTACTTTCTGCAGCTTGTTTCCCCTCGCCCTCCTGTCGGGGGGTTCTCAGGTTTTCCTCTGCTTGTTGCCCAGGGCCTCCTCTCGTCTTGCTGGAAGTTTAAAAGCGAGGAAGGGAAATAATGGTAAATATTATTGTTATTTGTTAATAAAGGCACAATAAATCCAGGGGCAACTACAACAACTGAAATCTTTTCAACTAAGATTTTTATCTGTGTTTGATTTTTTTTTATTTTATTTTATATTTTTTTTGTATTAAAATAGGTGCCTTGGATTAAGTTTTCCTTTGAGGCTGCTGAGCCGGTGTCATTGGGGCGCTCAGAGCAATAGCTTAGGAAAACAAGTGACAGAACTGCATTTAGTGAAAATCCTGATATTCACAATTTGTTAAATTATTTTCTTTCATTGTTTCCATTCTGTTTGTCGTTTGTGCCTAACCTGAACTTGTAGAAAGCTTTTATCCTTTGACTTCTGCAGCTACTGAAGGATTGGTGTAACAAGAGCCAGCAACTGCTTGTTACAGACAAATTCGGTGATTGCTTTCATAACGAAGTGATGGGGTTTGCCTGTGCTGGGATTTACCTGAGCTGTGGCAGTTAAAAGAAAGTCGTGGTTCTCCTGGTCCAGCCACATCACGTTGTGTCTTGAACGTTTCTGCAAATAATTCAGGGAAGAGATTTATAAAAAAAATTAAAAATTAAAAAATAAAAATAAAAAATGTAAATGAATAATTAGTAATAATAATAATAATAACCTGTACTAAAATAGCCTTGTTGCTGGGGAAAAACAAACAACCAAATAGACTTTCAGCTCTCATATTTAGGAAGAGATTTAGGAAGGCTTTGGGCAGGGGTTAGGCTTTGGGCAGGACACCCAAACCCTCAGGGCGCACGAGCTGAGCGAGGAATCCCTCAAATTCAGCATCACTTCTGAGGCCACTGAGCTCTGAGCTGGGCTTGTTTGGATTTAGGGAGGCAGGAGCATGAGGAAAGCAGGTGAGCCCGGGGTCCTGCTCGTGGTGTAATGGGTTACGTGGGTTATAGCACGCTGCACGGAGCCTGCTGCTGGCAGCCCTACAAACAGGGCTCCTCGCCTCACGCCAGGTAGAAGCTTCCCCTCTGCGATCCAGGGGATTAGTCCAGAAGCAAACCTAAACCATCCGCCGTGTCCCCGACCTCTGAAATCCCCGGGGGTTTTGGCCCGGCTTTCTGGGCAGGCGGGATTTTGCATGAGGAGAGGGAAGGTATCAAAACCTGGCTGGTAGGCAGAGATTTGTTTGGGTAGGAAATATTTCTTACCCCCTCGCAAAAAAGCCCTGCAGCAACCGAACGGGAGGAAGAAAGCCTCCGCAATTAACCCCAGCCCAGAAAGCCTGCTCCAAACGAAGAAGGATTTTTAAATTCTGTTTAGATTTTTTTTTTTAAAAAAAGGCGTATCAGTTTACATTTATAACGTTGGTATCATCCAGTATTTTAAATCAAATTATAGCTGTATCAGGCTGCTTAACAATGTTTCTTTTTAATTAGGTTTACTAGTCCCACATGCATTTTTTTGAAAAATAAATTAAACAAACTTAATTAAATTACATGACAGGGGTTAGGTAAGACTGTAAAAAGCCCAGCAAGAATACAAGGGCTGATAAATGCTTTCGGATCCACTCACATCTTGCACTTTTCCTAAAACCCGTCTCCTTTAGGCCGATTTCCAGAGGTTGTGCTTCCTCCTTGTGCCCCCACCACCTGCAGTGCCTTACATCCACGGCACTGTCCGGGCTGTCTCTTTTTTGGTAATTTCCCTTAAAAATGTTTGAAATGCTGCCTTTGCCAGCAGCTTGAACAGGAGCTCCTCAGAAGGCTGCGAATTGATGAATTTGCTTTAATTTACAGACTTTCTCCACGAGAGGTGCGTTGTGCTTACAGGGAGGTTTGTGTGCCTTCAGTGGTGACCTGCGCCGGGCATCCCCGGGGTCCCAGCTTTGTAACCGCCTGCCCCAAAGTCAGAGCCTGTCCTCAGGGTTTCCTCCTCGTTGGATTGCAGGAACCCTATCAAGATTGGGATTTCTGTGGTTTCTGCAGCATTTCTCGCTTCACAGAATCCCCTCATTTTCACAGAAAGCGAAAGCATTTGTGCAACGCTGCCGCTACCAAGAAAACGGCCCCTTTGCTTTCATACTGGAAAGATGTGGATAAAAATGTACGGGATGAGGGGAAGGGAAACCCCGAGGGCTGGGCAGGGGGCTGCAGGGAGCGGAACCGAACCCGCTGCCGCTGCTGCCTGCGGCTCGGCATCACAGGGCTCCTGTTGTCCCGTGCAACGCCACGGAGCACGAATATTTTGCTCATTTCCCTATTTAAAAGCGGTCTCAGGGAATTCCACAGCAGGGGAAAGCACCTTGCTGAGGAAGCACTCCATCAGGCAGATAGCATCGGGGTGGGTTCGCAGTTCACCGTGAGCTTACCGCGGGTTTTTAAGGGGGGGGGGGCAAATTGAATAATCCCATCGAGGAAGAGGAAAGCAGCAAAGCCGCCTGCCTCCAGCCACACGGGGCCGGGAGCATCCCGAAGAGCAGTGGGGCATCTCCCCGATGGAGACAGGCAGCTGTCACCGCGCCGCCAGCAGCGCTTGGGTCGTGCCGGTAATTCCCCCGGCTCCGAGGGCTCCGCATCTGGGGCTGCGAGGATGAAGTCAGCCCCGGAGCCGCTACGGGCTGGAAGTGATTTCACCGAGCTGCAATGCAGATGGATTAATTCCAGTACTGTAAAGTCAACATGGTCGAACACTGGCTACATCACAGTCTTCATTACTGTGGTCTGGATCGGGTTTTGATGAAGTAATTTCCCTTGAGTTTAGCACTTAGAAAACATATAGGGCGTCCTTCTCGGATTTGTCTGGAGAGCGGTCCCCCCCCTCCCGACCCCCCCCAAATTGGCCTTTATCAGTTGCACATGGACCCCTGCGATTTGGAGGGCTTTCAAACGAGGCCCATATGGCCTGTGGCACACCATGCCCAAACAGTCGGCTGCATGAAATGGGACGCGCTCGCGGTGCGGACCCTGGATGTTATTAATAACAAATGATATAACACTCCGAGCCGGCGTCCCCAAACGAGGGCAGATTAGTGATCCTCCATCCTTCCTCAGGGCCCTGGCTCCCAAAATGTTCCCGAGGAGCACGGAGGGGACCCACAGCACCACGGCACGGCGACCGGGGGGACACCGCGGGTCTCACCCTGGCCGGGCTCAGCCACAGGTGAGCGGCACCAGGAAGCCCGCGCTAATCATCCTGCCCAATTTGTAGTTCCCGAGACTTGAAGAGAGCCCTTCATGCAGAGGAGATGTTTATTTTGTATTTTTTTTTCTTGGCTATAAACTGTAATTGAATCCTTGTCATGTGCAATTTGCTTCCTCGGGAGAAACTCCTGGAAACGTGACCCAGCTCTGGGCACCAGGCTCCCACTGCCACCAGCGGCACCTCCAGGAACCTTCCTGCAGGAGCCACCTCCCAAAAAGTAGCTCCGGCTCCTCCACTTGGCACCAGGCCTGAGCAAAAGATGCTCTGAAGGGTCAATAAAAGGGTGCCCCCAATACCAGCTCCTTCATCTCCAAAACCCTCTTCCCCCCACAGCTTGATGCTGGATGTCAGCGCCCAGGTCCTGCTCTCCTGGAAGAGGGCACGAGGGGTGAATGACAGGGAGGGCTGGATGTTTGCTGGAATTCTGGCTGTACCTCACTGAAATCCTCTCAGAAATGCCAGCAGGCATCCCACTTCTCCTCCGACTTGCAGCAGGGGTTGTGCTGGTCCTGTGTCCCCCCCCCTTGCTCCTCAGACACAAAGACCAAATACCTCATGGTCAAAAACATTGGGAGTTTTTTCCTCCCTCCCCACCCTTGTTTTCCATTTTGCCTTTTTTATGAGTATGACCCCATGAAAATAATTTTTAAAAGCTCTATAAAAGCCTGCAGTGGGCTGGCAACAGCAAGCAAACCCAGGGAAACACTGGGGTGGCAGCAAAACACTAAAAAAAAAGGAGGTGAAGAGACACCAAACCCGGCCAGCACGGAGCTAAAATCCATGGGGCTGAGCCAAGTGACTTGTACGGGGTCAAATGCCAGCATTTGAGCAGTCAGTGCCATTCCTGGGGTCCCACAGCCCCCACCTGCTGCCTGCAGCCCCCCACACCCTGGGGTCTTCCTGGCCGGGGTCCTGTGGTGCTGAGCCCGGCGATGATGGGAGGGAAAGGTTGCGCTCTCTGCTCCCTCCCTGGTCTCTTTTGCGGGTGCTCTCTGGAGTGATAACGTGGAATTTCCTCTGAAACTCGAGCAGAGGGAAGGAAATTAATTTTCCCTTTTTATTTTTATTATTTTTTTTGTAAAGAAATTATTTCATATGCCTGAGATGAAATGCCTTAATAAGCAGATCCATTGCTCTCGCACGGCGTTAGGATACTACTATTAAATCAAGGTGTGGTTTTTGTTTTTTTTTTAAACATATTATAAAAAAATCACAAGGAAAAAAATGTTCCCTGCTTCCCTGATTTCCAAAGTGAGTGTTTTAGTACCTCTGCAATCAGGAAGAGCCTGTGGAAGGGGCTGCGGATTTACCAGAAGGACAGTAAATGGGAGCAGGAGTTCAATCACAGCGTCGGAAAGCGCCGCTCTCCCTGGAGCCGCTCCCCGGTGAGGGTGTGATTTACACCGCTCCTCTCCCTGTACATTAAATATTTCCAAACATTATTTCCCACTCGGTGCTATTTACCCTGTTTGGTTTAATTTAAGACAAGGGGACGAAATGTGTGTCCGGGCCAGTGACCGAGGGCCTGATCTGGAACCGGCAGCAGCAACTTTTGTTATTTTTTTTTGTGTTAATCTTCAACTTTTGAATAAAACTTGTCCATCAAATCCTACCAACACTCAATTTGGGGTTATACTTGTCCATACCTAGCCACACAACCTTACATTACGTTTTGAGGCTGTGACAGAGGCGGCTGCTGCCATAAAACCCCCTTGCCCCCCTCTCCGATAGCTTTGCTTTTCTAACCCAACGCATTTATTTTATTTTCCAGGCGCTGTGGCCCGCTCCCTTCCTGCCCTCGCCGACTGGAAAAACGCTTTAACCTTGATTTGGCGCAAAGAAAACCGATACAAGGGCCGCGGATTTGTAAAGGTATAGCTTCCTCTCCTTGTTTTCCTTGTCAATCAGCGTCCCCGCGAGCCCGCAGCGCACGGCGGCAGCACTCGCTATTTCCACGCGCTGTCACAAGTCGCACTCTCCCTGTTAGGTGTTTGCTTCCAGAAGCCAGCTCCTGTTTTATAAAGTGAGCATTCCCAAATAAGTTTGAATAATTTACATCTTTCTCCTACAATTAAAAAAAAAAAAAAAAGAAGTTATATGAAATGTTGCAATTTACCAAAACACCTGAGGAAACATCCCGATTTTTAGGAATTTGTTCTAGTATTTATTCACCAGCACACTATTTATTTCTTTTACCGCTGCTATTTATTTACTCAACACCCCCGTGCACCCTGATGGTGGCAAAGGTGCAGGCAGATAATTTCCTAAAGCGGCCCCTGGGATTTCCTTGCGGGATTCGGATGCTGGACTTGCTCGGATCCCCTCCGGGGCTCTACCATCAGCTCCGCAGCGCGGGACCTCCAG